GGGAGCAATCCAGCTAATCTCTGTCCCTGGTAAATGGCAGCGTCTATCTAGGGTGAGAGACAAAGAAAAGGAGGAACAGGCAGTAAGAATCTTCTGACTATAGCTTCTTCCCAGAACAGATGATTTATCCCTTAATAACATTCTAGGGTTTAAGATGTTAGCAGCAAATAGTTCTGGTGCTAATGATACTAATCCCACCCAGTCCTTGTGTCCTTCCGCCTCTGCCTGTCACGTAGTTGCTGGGAGAAATGATGTTAAGACAGGATTTTATCCACATCAAAGCTCCTCCCAGCTACCTTGCAGGGCAGCCAGCTCAGGCTATTTCAGATGACTCACTAAGGACTGGGGCCAAAGTCAGAACAGTCCAAGCAGCACAACACCGCTGTTAATAACTCAAGCCGCACAGGTGATGGTAATTTAGAGTGCAGCTCAGTCACTCTGCAAATGTCCCAAGGGAAGGCTCCTCCAGGCTCTCACACAGCTGCAACCAGGGACGGCAACCCAGAGATGTCCTTGAGGGCTGCTAGACTGTCCCAGGTGGTAGTAATTAATTGGGCTCACTAGTCGCCTTGGTGGCCCCAGACGCTGGCTCTCTGCCTCAGGAGTCCGTTGGAAGGCCAATCTCCCTGGCAGGGTTTTTATTCCCCACCGATGCTCCTCCCAGTTCCTCTTGGAGGACAGGCACAAGCTGCCCAGGAGATGCCAGTTGGGCTCCCTAGTCGCCTTGGTGGCCCCAGATGCTGCGTCTCCGCCTCAGGAGTCCGTTGGAGCGCTGATCTCCCTGGCGGGGTTTTTATTCAATTATTTAATTTTATTTAATTAGTGACTGTGGTTTTGTAAAGCACTTTGAAGAGGAAAAGTGCTCCATTAGGGCTAAGTAATAGTCTTATATGATGACTATCCAAAATTACTCTTTTAGCGCTGGCTTTACTGTTCTCTGTTATCATCCCAGTCATGTGCTACAGCAGTATTTCCTGAAGGATTGGAACATTTTAAGTGTTAACACATCATTTTAGTTAGTGCAAGATCTTCATTCCAGTGTGCTCCACATAACAAAATTCAATTTTATAGGTTATCATTAGGGTAATTAATTGCTAGTGCCTAAGAGGTAGTGTTATAAAATTTAACAATTTAAATGGAGAAGAGCAATAAATGGTGACCAGATAAATGCCCTTGATCTAATGATTTCTCCCTCTTCAAACATGATGCTTTTCTCTGCATCTTATAGCTATTGAAGTGAAAACCTTTGTATATTATTGGGAGGGGGGCCATTCCATTTAAAAATGGTTCTCTCTTGTGTCTGTCATATTAAGACTGTACCAGATGTTCACAGACGAAAGGTAGAATGAATATATATTTTAAAAAAACAAAGAATGGTAAAAAACCCTAAAAACAATAACACCCCCCCCCAAAAAAACCCACATTATGTTTCTCAAGTGTTGGGAAACCCTTGGGAGAATTCTGAACTAAGGAGAATTCTTCGTAATTTGAGACTTTTTCTGTACAAAATTCACACATGGTTTCTATTATGCTGAGACAGCCTTTTCTGTGCAGGAAACAGCCCATAGACATGAGACATCTTGGGGCTCTTTTGGTTTTTCCAACCCTTTTGGAACTGCCTCCATTGGGCATGGGCTTGCCTTCCAATAAATTGCCATCTGGGTAGCAACCAATAGTTTTGGATTGGACTTGGGGTGTTGTGAAGGGGGTCACAGGTTGAGACCTGGCCCCAGCTGGACCTGCATCCAGTTACTCCCAAACCCATCTTTGCTCATCTCCAGAAATGCAGTTCTTTCAAGCAAGCTGAAACCTTGATTCACCAGCATGACCTTACTATGGGAAGAAATGCCTCTTCACTAGTCACTCTTGATAGCCTTCTCCCCCATGAATTTATGTAGTTTTCTTTTAATCAAGAGAACTATCCAAGATGGTGGCCATCATTATATATGTAGTTGTATCTTTATGGATTTTATTCTGCAAATTGCTTCTGTTTCTGTATTCAGCCTGGGGGATGAGGACTGGGTAAATCTATTAAAGCAAACTGTAATGGAGTGAATTTCTCACACATCCTTAGAATTTTGTATGTCATACCATATCACTGTATCCGATTCCCAGCACAGTCCCTAGGCAGACGTTCATATACTGTACTTCACAGTCTCCTCTATGAGTTCTAACTGTCATGGGCAGAAATCCAGGTGGATGTGTAAATTGAATGTAACATATTTTATGAATACTTAAAAAGCATAATCACATCTTTTTATGTGTCTTCTGATAGCTTAAGTCATATTAAAAAAAACCCTTATGAATCTGCTGTGCAGGGAAAATGTTGCTAACGTGTCACAATAAACTAACTAACTGAAACCCTCCAGAAAAAAGTAACATTTGCCTTCTCCATGGAAGTTTATGGGAGTCGCTATGTACCAGCAGCTGTAAAATAGTCATAAAATAAAATTGGAATTTATATCAAAATCGCTTTTAATACCTTTGTGAGTTTTTGCATTTCTGCATAGTTTATCTGGAGAGATTTAGCAGTGTAGGCTTATGCTAAGTGGTTGAAAGTTATAGCAGAACTGTCAGTAATATTACCTTTTGGGGAGATTCCTTTGCTTATATATCAGCCTATTTATTTTTATGTCACTAAGCAATACACTCACCTGGAAAAAGATGCAAAAGCACAATGTTGTTTGTAATATTAGCATTGTTGATGGCAATTAGACTTTATCACTGATTATTCTGTTATTAATTGTAGTTTGGAAAATGGTTTCTTTCCCTGGATCCTTCAATGCATTTTAGGACCTGCTAGCACAGCTCTACAAACTGCTGCAATGAAGCAAAGCATGAATGCCACATAGAGGAGGGTGTATTGTTTGAGTATGTGGTGTTCTACCTCTAAACTCCTCCTAATATTTAGGAAATAAAAAATTTACCATAGTGACCATTGGGTCCACCTCTAGTGACTCTGCCTCTGTGGCCTCATTGAGTATTTATTTATTTACTGTTTATTTTATTTATATCTTGCCTTCTTCCCAACATAAAATCCAAAGCAGCATATAGTGTTTTAAAAACACATTATCATCAACTGCCACTGTTGCTACTTTGCCACCATTGGTAAAATAATCTGATAGCTGCCATGTCTCCAGGATTGTAATAGACCCAGGGGTCATAGATAGCATCAATGGGACTTTTTTATTAGTGAGGATGGCTTTTTGACTAGCATGGATGATGCTAGAAACACTAGCATCATAGAATAATAGATGGCATAGAATAATAGATGGCATTGACGTGAGGGCAGTTAACAACAACAACAAATCGCAAAGCCTTCTAGTCCAAATTCTTGCCATGCAAGAATATACAGCCAAAGCACTCCTGAGAGAATTCTCCGCCTTCTTAGGCTGTCCATTCCATTGTTTAATAGCTGTTGCTTTCAGGATATTCTTCAAAATGTTTAGGTGGAATCTTTTGTAATTGGAAGCCACTGGGTTGTTTTCTAATCTCTTGGGTAGCACAAAACAAACTTGCTCCATCTTCTACAGGACATCACTTCCGATAATGAAAAATGGCTACCACACCACCTCTTTATCACCTCCAAGCTAAGCATACCTTGCTCCCTAAGCTTCTCATCATAGGACTTGATTTCCAGACCTTTTAGTATCATGCATGACCTGCTCGCTATGCCTTGAGGTTACCTTTTACCTCTTCCTTATTAGGATGCCCTTCATCAATGACACCTGCACAACATCCATCCTTTATACACTTTCCCTAAATGTATAAGGGCTAGGGACCCAAGTGTCTTCTTCTTATAAGTTTAATATTTGGTAGTGTGTTTATATGTGCTTATATGGTTTAGAATTCACACAGGCAGAGGCTTCTGTTGTAACAAATAAACATTGACTTTA